TTCGTCTAGATTACTTCAATCCATACAAGGATCGTTGTAATTTTATCGAGTACATAATACCTGGTTTTATTTCAGGGATTTTAAATCCTTCTGGGATTTTCGTATAAATATCACTCTCTAGTGATCCATATAAATATGCTGTAACCATATATGTTAAATATATATGCAATCTTTCTGTGACCGCCAAATGTATTATGAATCTAAATGTGGGTGCATCAATCACAGGGGAGTATGTCTCCTCATAATCAATACCGGTCTCTGTGAGAAACCTTGAGCTACCAGTCGGGCTTTGTATCTCACAATTTCATTTTTCTCATTACGCTTTCGTACAAACACCCATTTGTACCCAACAGGATTAACACCCTCAAGTGTCTGGACTACTAGTCCAAATACTTCACGTTTAGCTAATGAATTTAGTTCTGGTTTGTATCGTTTCTTTTCATTTTGGCCAATTATTTCTTCGTCAACATTCTTCGACGTTTTGAAGTTCCGGATCCTCATTATCAATATCAAGAGTAACAAGATATGAGAATATGTTGTCGACAACAATTTCATTTCTATTCCATCTCGTTTCATAATTTAATGAGATCTCATCATTTTCAAGTACATATACCTCATCAAGGGCATATGCCCCATCAAGGGCCATATCATCATCTATTGCCTTTACGTCATCAATATATTTATTATTTCATCATTTTTAGGTACCTAAGACTCATCAAGAGTCTCTGCCTTATCAAAGGCTATTATCTCAGATTGATCAATAATATCTGTTACTCCTTTTGTGGCCTTTTCAGGAGTGCCAGCTTTTCTTTATGATTTCCTCTTACGAGGAGCAATATCTTTTGCACCGACTGGTCTACCACGCTTCAGGCGTGTTTTAGATGCATTTGCTGCATTACTAACAGAAGGTCCTTCAGGGACAGCAATTCGTGCTGGAATATTTGCAGCTGGTATATGTGATTTTGTTACTATAAATGTATCAGGTAATTGATTTGCAACATTTTGCAAGTGAATGATCCTTTAAACTTCTCGTTCATATTGATTTGAGCGAGGATCAAAATGAGACAATTCCAGGGCATTTCAAGTAAGATCACATTGCTGCTGTGCCTTTTCTCCCCCTAATGGTGGGAAAATAGTATCATTAAAATGACAGTCAGTAAATCGTGCTTTAAAGACATCACCTGTCAGGGGTTCAAGATATCTAATAATAGATGGAGAATCGAAACCAACATAAATTCCAAGTCTACGTTGATGACCCATTTTAGTGCGTTGGGTGGTGCAATTGGAACATAAACAGCACAACCAAAAACTCGTATGTGGGAGATATTTGGTTGTTGACCAAAAACAAGTTGCAATGGTGAGTACTTATGACAAGCAGTTGGTCGTATACGAACTAATGATGCAGCATGAAATATGGCATGACTCCAGGCAAAAATAGGTAATTTTTTTCACATAAGCAAAGGACGACCAATTAACTGAAGTCTTTTAATAAAAGATTCAGCTATACTATTTTGAGTATGAGTGTGTACAACAGGGTGTTCAACATTAATTCCAACTGACATGCAATAATCATCAAAAGCATGAGAAGAAAATTCAGCGGCATTATCAAGACGAATTGTCTTAATTGGGTAATCAAGAAAATGTGCCCTTAATTTGATGATTTAAGTAAGAAGTTTAGCGAATGCAACATTACGAGTAGAAAGCAGACAAACATGTGACCATCGCGTTGAGGCATCAATTAAAACCATAAAATAACAAAATGGTACACAGGGTGGATGAATTGGCCCACATATATCCCCGTGAATTCGTTGCAAAAATAGGGGAGATTCAACAATGACTTTTGAAGGGGATGGTCTGATAATCAACTTACCTTGTGAACAGGCGGTGCATAGATGATTATTTGGTAAGATGATTTTTTGATCCTTTAGTGGGGCGTCCATGTGAATTTTTAATAATTCGACGCATCGTTGTACTCCCCGAGTGACTAAGTCGATCATACCAAAGCATAAAAAGTTTTGGGTCACAAGATTTTTTATGTATCACAACATTTGACTCAATTGTTCTAATGGTTGTATAGTATAACTCAGAAGAGAAAACAGGGAGTTTTTCTAATATCAGCTTCTTGCTTGAGGTAATGGAAGTAATGTAGAGATATTCCACATTTCTTTCATTTGCAGTCTCAATATGATACCCATAACGACGCAAATCTTTAAAACTTAACAGATTTCTCCGAGATCTTGTAGAATATAAGGCATCACTGATTTGTAATCTTATTCCATGTGGCAAAATGACATTGGCTCGTCCGGAGCCTTCAATCAAGTTGGTGGGACCTGATATTGTACTGACACTAGCGTCTGTCAGAGTTAAGTGAGAAAAATATTTTTGATCTCGAAGGATTGTGTGTGTCGTTCCACTATCTGCAAGACATATATCTTCTCCATTTATTTAGGAACTAGTCAGATCCATTCCTATTCATGCAAATTTCTTTATCAGAAAAGAAATATTTATAACAAAAGAAACTTTAATACAAACTAGAAGATAAAAACTTTTATACAAGGAAAACAAAAACAAAATAAACAAAACATGAAAAGAAAATAGGATTAATTGCTTTGGACATTTCCATCACCAATCAAAAAGTCTATATTTCCATCACGGTCCTCAAAAAAATCTAATACATCCAGATTTGTGATGTTAACTGGCTCATTATGATCAATGAAATTCATTTCCAGATTCGTGATGTCAACTGGCTCATCATGATCAAGGAAATTCATTTCCTTTTGTTTTCCTTTTTCTTTCATTGAGGCTTGATAAAGTTCAGCCAGATGCTTAGGTGTGCGACAAATACTTTGCCAGTGCCTTGTCATTCCACATCGGTAACAAGTTTTGCCATGTGCCTTAGAAGGTTGAGCCACATCCTTCTCTTTTACTTGTTTCATTTCATTGTGATCTCTCCTTTGGGGATATGGTGTAGATCTCTGATTGCGAAAATGTGATGATTGATATCTTTCACGGTAATAAGAATGATTTCTACCACGACTATATTCATTATTGTGGTAGTTATTTTTACCACGACCATATTCATTTCTACCACCACGGCCACGTCCGCGACCACGGGATGAGGCAACATATGTTTTAGGGATCAGTGTCGATCCTGTTGGACGGAACTGGTGGTTTCTTAACAAAAACTCATTATTTTGCTCTGCCACAAGCAAACATTATATCAGATCTTAATATTTTTTAAATTTACGTTTTCGATATTGTTGTTGTAAGAGCGCATTCGAGGCATGAAATGTGGTGAATGTTTTTTTCCAGCAAAAGTTAATCAGTAATAGTACCACCACATAATTTCAATGTAGAGCTGATTTTGAATAGAGCAGAGTTATATTCAGCCACAGTTTTCAAATCTTGCAACCTCAGTTGTTGCCAATCAGCCCTGCCCTTTGGGAGGATAACTGCTTTTTGATGATCATATCTTTCTTTCAAATTGTTCCACAAACAAAGTGGATCTCTTTCAGTAAGGTATTCAGTTTTTAGCTCCTCACTAATATGGCGCCACAGGAAAATCATGGTCTTTGCTTTATCTTGTAATTATGCATTATTATCTTCTTTAATTGTATTTCCAAGGCCCATGGCATCCAAAAGGATCCGAGCATCCAGAATTCAAGATAAATAATTTTTGCTAGAAATATCCAAGGCCAAGAATTCTAGCTTTGTCAAGTTTGACATTTTCAGAATAATTAGATGTGACAACAATATAAAAATATAATTTAGCATCGTATATAAATAAAATGATATTAAATGAAATAATAACATAATATAAATTATTTAAATAACAAAGATGGTAAATTTAGCCAAAATAAATAAATTATTAAATAATAAAGGCGGTAAAACCGGCCATAAATCATTAAATAATAAAGGTGTTAAGACCGACCATAATTAGTGGATCAGTAAATAATAAGGTGGTAAAACCGACCATAGTGTAAGCACATATATCATTTAAATGAACAAATTTATTTATGAATAATAATACATAATTAAAAAAAAATTACCATTTGGAGTCAGAAATACTATTTTTTTCGATAAAGTAAACCAACCCATCAATCTATCAAAACTAATGTCACAAAATAGATATATAATTGGGATAGAAAGAGGGAGAAAAAGTTTCTTCTTCAAATCTAAAATGGATAGAGCTCGTGCTGAAAACGTGTAATAAATATATAAGTATATATATATTTATAGAGTAATTTTATTAGAGGAACAAAAACTTTTCAGAGAGACAGAGAGACAGAGAGAACGAAGATAGAGAGATAGGAAGGTTTTTTTTTTTTTTTTTAGTGCACACTAATCAGTACATGCATAAGGCCTACTTATAAGCTTCAAATTAAGCTTCCCATGTACGCCACTTTTGGTATCTTCCCTTATAAGCCTCGTGGATGATCTCATGGATGACTTATATAATTGGGGACCCCACACACTTTTACATATATATATATAACATCTTTACTTCTTTCTTTTTCTCTTTATTTTTTTTTCTACTCTTCTTTATTTTTTTTTCTTGACAGACAAACATAATTACATAAAATTAAGATTGCAAAGGTTAGCCGGTGCAATCACCAAGATAAGAACATACAAGCAACAATCAAAACACAAAGTAATGATTAAAGTTGTCCATAGAAACGCTGCAAATAAGCTTCAGGCAAAGCGAAGCATTATAGAACAGCCCAAGAACAAAAGATTGCGGAACCTCTTAAGTGATCTGGACTTTAAAGTGCACTAGATCAACTCAACCGTTGGTCCAGACAAGAAAAAAACAAAAAAAAAAATTTACTGTTGGTCTCAACCATCACAAAATTTATCCTCTTAATTCTTACATAATGTACTAAACCTCAAGAAATTGGCTTAGTTAGAAAAGGTTTGGGTCCTGCTACTTCGTGAAGCATCAAGAGACCTAATCCAAGCTTTAACCGGTTTATGTAGGCGCCTTGCATGAACTTCGTGAATTAATCAACGCAAAATTCCGAACACCTCAATTATTAAAAAAATATATATAGAGAGAGCACATATTCTATATATTCTTGCTTGCTTCAACAGCCATAAGCATTCAGTTCTTTAATCAAATCATCCAAATCAATGTAACTTGATCCACCTTCATCAACAGCCTTCCATGCCATCTCCTTAAGTGTCCTTGCTCTTCTCCTCCTCTCCTCAGCTTCTTCACCCACCATAACCTCCTTCACCGCCATCTCTATCGCTTCCCATTTTACACCATCACTTGCCTCTCTGTTCAATTGCTGAGAGCCAACACCAACCCCAATTCTCAAAATCTCAGTCAACAACTTCTCATTGAAGAACTGCTCTGCAAACACTGGCCACGTCACCATTGGCACTCCAGCAGACACCCCTTCAAGCGTCGAGTTCCATCCACAGTGTGTCACAAAGCCTCCCACTGCTTCATGATCAAGAATCAACACTTGAGGTGCCCACCCTCTTATCATTAGCCCCTTACCTTTAGTTCTCTCTTCAAATCCTTCCGGCAACCAATCAACCAAGTCTTCTTCTTTCTCAGATTTTCTAACAACCCAAATGAATTCTTGTCCAGAAGCTTCAAGTCCCATTGCAAGCTCATGTAATTGGGAAGCAGCAAAATTTGCCAAACTTCCAAAGCATGCATAAATAACCGAATTGGGCTTCTTCGAGTCCAGCCATTTCAAACACTCGTGTTTGTCAATGGATGTTTCTTTGCCTCTCTGTGCTTTGTGTTCAACTTCTCTATTGCATAGTGACACCGGGCCTACGTGCCACACCTTCCTCCCCAAAACCCTACTGTAATGATCAGCATAACCTGGTTCAAGCTCGTAGAAGCTGTTTACTACAACTCCAAAGCTTGTCATCTCTGTCTTTATAACTACATCTATCAACTTGGTAAAGTCTGACTTGTTGTCGTCATCTTCTTTGTAATGATCAGCAAGTTGCATTCTAGTTAACCTAACCTCGTGAGGAAGGTTAGGCACAATGAAGGGCTCGGACTCTGATGAGACATTCATCTGAGGCTTGTAGAGTCTCAAGTGCTCCGAAACACACAGAGCGAAAGAACCAGTTCCATGGAAAACAAGTCTAGGAATGTCGATTTTGGCTGCAACATCGGTTGCCCAAGGGAAGAACAAGTCCGCGACAAGGCAATCAGGACGGGCTTCTTCCAGGACATGCTCGAGTGGTTCTTGGAGCATTGTGACGGCCTTGAAGAAGTTGGGAATCATATCGTCGGAGACTTGATCGATGTTTTCACATCCTTGGGGCAAGCCAGCTTCCTCTGCAGGGAATCTGATGACACTAACTGAGATCTGGGTATCCAAATTTTTTGTTGCTTGGATTGATTTGGTGAAGATAGGGGCATTATGAGGAGTGGTGACTATGGTTGTTTTAACACCATGTGAAACAAATTGTTTGGCCATGTCCAAAATTGGTATCATGTGGCCTTGTGCCATCAATGGAAAGAAGAACACATGAAGCTGACCCATTGAAAACAAGTTATGAAGAACTGAGAAAGAAAAAAGAAAAAGAAAGAGAGAGAAATGGGATTATTTTCCAACTCTTGGAGTGTATGAAAATCAATGAATGTTGCAAAAAATATATATAAAGGGTATTTAGTAGTAGTAGCTAAAGGTAAGTAAGAAAAATAAAAATGCTACAACTTGGGAAGCAAGTATTGGTTGATTGTGTTGAGCATTGCCACATGTTTCATACATGTTGTGGTCAACACGCAAAGATAGAGATATGTCTATATTATATATGTTCTTGTCTCTTTTAATACATGTTGTGGTGACCACGCAAGAGAAGAGAGAGAGAGAGAGAGGTGTGTTGTTGACTTATTTTCTGTAGTCATACATGTTGTGCTCACCACGCATGCAAAGAGAGGAACGTTTTTTATAACATGGTCCATTCCATCACCCATTTTAATCCAACTTCAATTGTCTACAGGACTATGATGATCCACGAGGTCTGGTTTTGATTGACTAGAGCCCATAGAAATCTTTGACCGCTTGAATGAAGCATAGGTAAAGGGTAAGCAAGTTACGAATTTGGGTGTTTTGATGCATTTAGAATTAGGAGTGGGAAAAAAATAGTAAGGACCGGTAAACCGAGCCGGACTAAATCGAATCATACAATATGATCCGTTGTATAATAAAAATGGTTTGGTTTCGATTTTAAAATTTAAAAAACAGTCAGGCTCCAATTTTTTCTGGAACTATTGAAATCAATTTCATTCTAATTCATCTCAAAATCGTACTAAGTGAAACTTTTTGCATCTCCATTTAGAATTACATCAAGCAGGTAAAACAAATTAATTAATTACATTAATTTTGACTAATGTTTGATTCAGTGGAGGGATTGTAGGTGCAAAAGTTTGGAACCGAAAAAGGTCAACACAATTAAAACTCACTCGATGAATAGGAATAAACAAGATTGAAAGTTGTACCAAAAAAGCTCTATAGAAAATTTTCAATGCCTTTATTCGGGGTCTATGCCCCTATTTATAATTATTACATTCTTTAAATTTGATTAGAGCTCGCATTATTTCTTCACTTATATTTTTGGCATAAAAGCAAAATATTTCCTTCAATTATCAAAAATTAACATTTTACTTCCTGAACTACAAAAGTGAGCAAGTCAGTACCACAACTATCAAAAGCGTACAAATTGCCCCCTGACAATCACTTTCGGTAGTTTTCCGGCTAACTTCATTGTACATTTACAAAAATACCCCTTATAATTAACATTTTAAAAAAGGTAAAAAAAAATTAAAGAGTATGAAATACCCTCAATACCCCTTATGTAATATACACATATTTTCCCCAAAATTGGCTAACTTAAAAAATAATTAAACAGTAATTTTATAAATTCGTATTTTTCTCATCATTTTTGGACCAAAAAATCATCATTAGTATCTGCCACATCATTAATTTGTGGGCATTTATGTAATTTCAAAAATGTAATCCTCTCCGGTTTCTCTATGCTTAGATCAGGTTACTCCAGCGGCACATACTACAACCAGCAACTAATGCCCCACCACCACCACAATTTTCACTCCTCGTAAAATGCAAATGAGGATTGTAGTGATAAATTAGAGAAGCATACCTCACCGATCATCAAAATTAGCCTTGATTTCTTCCTCCGATGCTCACCCCCTTCTCTAGAACTACTAATTGAATCATCATGAGTAGTTAGAGTTTCTCCAAAACTTCTTGTTGAAGGATCCATCAAAGATGAGTCAAGCGTAATCTTTTCAGCAGCATAAATTCCCCAACCCACATCATAGAGCTCTTCAAGCAATTGTTATATAGGCTTTAAGAACCTCGAACCCTTGAGAATCGAAGCATAACCAGTGAACGGCACGAGAGGAACCGAGCTTTTTGACACATCATTCGAAGTCGAACTGCCACCACTACCACTAATAATTCCCAAAACAACATACCCACCGCCACTAGAAACTACCACCTTGTCACGCTTAAAACTTGAGGACTCATCGTATCATTGTAGATTCAATTCCAGTGGAAGATTCTTGTGACTGTGATATGAAGACAGAGCCAAAGACAACACTTGACCATTGGTGTTATTAACCTGATCATAATGGGCCATCGATAAGGGTTCTGGTTTAAACACCATAACTGGCTATCGCCGCACACCACCGCTATTGGTGGCAGGGCAACAACATCATCGTTATTCCCGTAACTACTACCACTATCCCCACCCCACAACACCCAGCATTAACACCCCACCACCGCCACCATCCTCACCCCCACAACCACTCCCATAACTGCCACTCCCACTATGCTTTCATATTCGGTGGCGCCGATCTGTTGACCTATATATAGAACCATGCAACGAATACCTACCATGGTGATTCAATTTGGTCCCCACTCCCGTAACTGCCACTCCCACTATGTTCTCGTATTCGGTGGCGCCGATCTGTTGACTTATATATAGAACCACGCAACGAATATCTACCATGGTGATTCGATTTGGGGATTAGGGTTTTGGGCATTGAAAAGAAGTTGGTGAATTCAGTAATGGAGACTTGTAAAGAGACATTAAAGCTGAATTAAGGACGTTCATGCTCATCAGCGGTTAATCATTCTCAAAGCTGGCGAGATCATTCTCGCATGGCGGTGGCGATAACGTATATATATATATATAACATACCCTAAGCCTCTGTAATATATATATATATATATATATATATATATATATATATATATATATAAGCAAAAGGTTACAATAGTCAAATTGAAGGGCAAATATGAAACTATAAAAAAATACAACTCACTTGTTGCAACAGTTGCCCAGAAAGCTACCGAAAGTGACTGGTAAGGGGCAATTTGCACATTTTTTTATAGTTATGGTACATGCTTGCTCACTTTTGTAGTTGAGGGGAGTAAAATGCAAATTTTTGATAGTTGAAGGGGGTTTTTTGCTTTTTTGCCAATATTTTTAATTGATACACAAGTTTGTAACTGTTGGCTTCAGTGGTGGGCCTAGACTCTTCCATAAATGAACTGGGCCTTCGAAAATATTGGGCTTGGTTTAGCTCTTACACCTTAGGCTCCTTGCTTTAACCGTATCAAGCGCTCAAAGCTAGTGGGCATGAGCTTCTTCTATTCACCCGCCCGGGGGGGGGGGGGGGGAGAATACAAAGCATAGAAGATATTGTATTGTCCTCTATCCCATAATTCTAAAAAAGTGAATAGAAATGGCAAGGACGGGAGCCCTTTCCTATCCTATTCCCATTTAACGGTATTCTTCTCATTACCCTAAATGGTTTATTGGTCCCCTCATGTTCGTGTTCTAACCTCGTCTCCATTTATATTCCTCCACTGTATTCTCATCAGGATCATTTGATTATTTATAAAAGGATTAAGTGCAAAAAATCTCTCACTACTATCGATATAGTGCAAAAAAAGTCCTTGTGCGGTATAAAATCCCCCTATACTATCAATTCGGTGCAAATACCCCCTTGTTCGCATAAAAAGACTATAATACCCTTTTGTCAATAAAATGAAATAATATTAAAAAAATCAGGCAATGTAAACTTACAATTTTAGACAATTCCCAAACTCACCCAAAAAGCTAACATTTTTGTGACAAATATACCGTTAAAAATACTCTTATGACTTTTAATTTAAGGGCTAATTGTGTCATTTTACTATAATCAATATCCATCTCTCTGTGTGGCAATAAACCATGGCTGCACAGGCCACCAATGAAGCTTTCTTTCTCTCGTTTTTTCTTCTTTATTCATTTCCCTTTCTACATCATATGTGCTATATGTTTTCCTTTTTTTTATGCAAATTTGATATTGAAAAACTCTTCTTGCTACTTGAGGGTTTACTGAAATTGAAAACTTGTTGTATTATTTTTTTCCTGCCCTGATTTGGTATTATTTGCTGATGTTATTTGTGTCATACAGTTTGTATTCAATTAGTTGGATTTGGATATTTCTTCCGTTGATTTCAATTTTTTTGCAATCTGATATGTTTCTTTATTTGATTTCTATTTTTGGCAATCTGAGATCTTCTATATAAATATCAATAATAAGATTTTAATCCTCTCTCACTGATTTTCCTTAAATATGATTTAGCCTACTGATTTTTCTCAAAATTTCCTCACTATATACATATATATTTGCATATGTTTAATTGATGTCGAGCATTAATCATCGCATTCACTGCCACCATCTGAACCACCATCACCATCTTTGTTGTTGCTCCGGCAATGTCATCGTTCAATAACAACTCCATCGCAACCCCTTAGATAACGCAATCATAGCTACTCCATCCTCGTTGTCTCTCTCTCTGTCTCTCCCTCTCTCCTCAAGATCAAACTCACCCCATCAAATATGCCGTTACCTACCGAAATCAAACACCGAATATAATGTTTCTCAATTTTCCTATTTTTCATTTTTCATAAATTTTTTTATTTTTTGAAATTTATTTTATTCATTTCCTCGTTTTGCGTGCCAGGCACCGTGGGGTGTGCCAGATGGATTCCGAGAGTTAGTTGGGGCACTTCTTCGAGTTCAGGACTCTTAGAAATGCATTGTTAGTCATTTCAGCATTTTCAATTTTTCGGACCAAGAGGTCCTGGGCGGGACCCGCAACCGATTTTGTTGTGCAGTAGAATTATTTTTCGGGGCCGTTGCATTTCATATATTATTTGATGCATATTTATATGGCTATGTGTTTAGACATGTGTTTGTGACGTGTTAAGTGTATGTACATATATATAAAGGCAAAGTAGATATTTTCTTGCACGTAGGGCCCGCTGTTGAATTGTGGTCATTACAAAGTGACCACATGGTCACCTTTCTGGACATTTTCTTTTCTTTCCCACTGCGGTTTTTCTCTCCCTCTATAGACTTTCTTTTTCTTTTTCTTTTTCTTTTTTCAATCTTCAAAGCTAGATCTACACCATTCCACTTAGAATTTGTCTTTGCCACAGAAGACAAAGTTAACGAGCACGATGAGAGCTTCGATTTGATTGTAGCAAAGCTTGATTTGGCATACCTTGGGTTTTTTGAGTTTTGGAAAAATTTGGGGCTTTTGATCTTCAATTGAGGTATAAGGC